AACATATCCGTACGAAATTTTGTGAGTGCATTTCCCATCGGCTAAGGAAGAACTGATTAAAATTTGGTTGAATTTGGTTAAAAATTGAATGAGAAATAGCAAAAGTTTGTCTTGCTTTTCCCGGTCAATTAAATAAAACTTTATACTGAATGCGTAATTAGGACGTGCATAATATATGCACCAGCCATTAAAATTCTAATAATAACAATAGATTACTTCAATATTTTGCGCGTAGGCGGAGGTATGCAGTCTCTGAGTGCCCTCTAGTTGTGGTATAGTTCTAATGGAGAGCGTCCATTTGACAAAAAGATTTTGATGTTATGTATGTATGACGTCATAATGTGGGAAGAACAAACAGGTAAATAGGTTACTTTTTACAAATATCACGCGTACATGATCCATGTAAATAAGGGAATACTATTGGCTACCGTATTTGTGACGTAATTTCGTGTGTCTGTCCTCTAATAGTCATGGCTCTCGACCAATGAAAGCGCCCGAACTCTTAACGTTATGATATAGATGCGATTACACAGTGCTGGTATTTTTGTTTCTTACCCTCGGAAAATTGGCCATTCTGTTCTAGTGGAGAGCATTCTTTGATTACCCCGGGCATGTCACACTCGTATCGTTCGTCTGTTTTAGATCCACTTTTACAAATACATACGTGTTCGTTCAGGCACGCATCATACAGTTCTTGGTATTCTGTATCGTTTCCTTTATATGCGAATATATCTTCAGCAGAACCACTTTGAATTCTAAAAGAAATGAAACAAAGTTTGTGACTTGTTGCGCTTAACATCAAAATTTAGTTGTCCAATCAACGTCATTAATTTTTCTATTTAGCTATTCGAGTTCGTATTTTACGGGAAAATGTCGCTCGTAAACTCCAAATTTTACCTGTGACGCTGGGAAAATTCCCAATATGACCGTCCTTCGAAGTCATCGTCCGGGTCACCATTAAAGTTACCACACAGGCCTTCGCTATGCGTATCTGGACCCCTTTGATCATTGGGTTCAGGTGCACTTATTATAATGTCTAAAGAATCGTCTCTAAATCCACTTCGTCCAATAGTAACCGTTATTCCAGATGGCAAATGGACCTATTATACAAAACAATGTATCTAAATATGATATGTGCAGTATTTTATTTTATGTGTGTTAAAGTGTGTTCAAAAGTTTTATTACAGTCGATTTCACGAAACTTTGACGACAAATTTTCCGAACTTCGTTGCGAAGTTCACAAGATTGTTGCGAAGTTCAAAAGTTCATAATGAGGTTCACAAACCAGTTTGTAAACTACGCATATGATTGGCCTCTTTTACTTCACGGACCAATCAGGGACTTTGTTTACAAATTGGCTTGTGAATTCCAATATGAGCTTCCGAACTTCGCAACGAACTTGCGAACTTCGCAACGAAGTTCGGAACATTTGTGGTCAAAGTTTCGTGAAATCGACTGTAAGCATATTTTGAGAAAATCGCCGGGCCACTGAATTTTGTCATTTGGTATTGCTTTTTATATTCCGTAATTAAAATAAAAAAAAAATAGTGTCGAAAATTCAGCTTATCCGTCGGATAGCTATTCACCCTGATATCCGTGCTTTGTACAGCGCACTTTTGTCCAATCGATAGCGAATTTATTCTTCGGGTGAGACTTATCCATCGGATATCTTATCCAACTTTCCTACAAGCGGTTCCCCGGTTTCTAAGCTGGCCATATTTCTATATACTTTGTGATATAGTTGCCATTGATACCCTACTTATATTAACCTATACATATGGATTACGGGTTCAACAGCAAACAGTGTAACTCACTATCATTTTCTTGCCTAACGTAAATTTTTCCAGTGGTTCTTCTGTATAAAAACCATATTTCGCCATATCAGGAGTGTGTCTGGTTTTTGCTATTTTAACCGGATCTCCCGCCGCAATACTGGAACACAATTCCACAATTTTGAAATAATATCCTTCTCTAATAGCTACTCCACAGTTGCAACATGTATTGAGCCTTGTTTGTACCTGCAACAAAAAGAGTGGTTATAATTTTGGAAAAGTGTTCACATGAATGAGATCTAACTGACATATTAAAGGGTCCTACAGTCATTTTTTTTAGTCGAAAAGCCACCTTAAGTAGGGGACTCCAAGGAGATTCGTGCATGCATGCATGCATCTTACATGCTATTTCGACAATGCAGTGAAGGCGATTCCCCTTATGATCTTAGGAAACGTGAAACTGATCTAGTATTACCAAAACCAAAGAAAGAATTTCTTAAAAGAAGTTTTAAATACAACGGAGCTATTGAATAATCTGTCTATTGCAGCAAAAAGCGCTGATTCCGTTCATTCATTCAAGAGAATTATAAAATCTACGGCGAGGTGAAGCTGACCTGTCCTCAATAATATTTATTTGTTTCTTTTATATATTTTTGTCTACCTGTTAATCTTTGTATGCTTCATGTAACTTTAATTTGTATATATTATTTGTGTAATTAGTTAGTTAACACGCCCCTCATGAAAAACAGCTGACGTTGATGAGGCTGGCGTGTCAAAATAAAGTATTGTGTATGTATGTGTGTGTATGCAGTATCCATGAGTATGAGTACTTCCGCACACCAGAAGACGCATGCATGCCGTGTTGCGCATGTCAAGTAGCGATAATAACAAAAAATGTAAACAAAACTTAAGATGGATTTTCGACTAAAAAATTACTGTACGCCCCTTTAAGTAATTAAGAACATACTTAGAGAAATGTACCATAAACGACAAAAGTTATAACTAAATCACATGGTTAAAAACTGATTAAATATCACAAATGTTGTTTTATAAATAAAACAATGAATTTCATGGCGAAAGTTGTAGGTTTTCGGATATGAATCTGAATTTCCTTTTCCAGGCGAAACCGTGCATACAGCTTTGGTGGAGTCTACAGCATTACTGTGCGTATAGTTAAAAATTTGCACACATGATCAAAATCAGATTTACATAAGAAACGTAAAGTCAATGAGATGCGAGATTTCATGCTCCATGATATACTAATACAGGGATGGATTTACTGGGGGGGTGCAGGGGGGTGCACACCCCCCCTAGCCCTGGCCAGGAGGGGTGCAGAGGGGGTGCTATTTTTCATGATAAAGCAAAAAATTATCAGAGACAAAATGAGATTCAGTAATTTGAGTAATAACATGATGATAAGCGAGCTGTGAACAATAATTACAATTCAAATACTGTAGCTAGACTTTGCAGTAGTTTTAATAAGCAAGTTGATGGATGTGTAAAGTCACTGGTAAGCAATTGCAACGTACTCGTCCGGAAAATTTTTTTCCCTAAAAAGTTGTCGATGGGGGGGGGGAGGTTGTTGCTTTCCGAAAACTTTTTTTGGCAGAGCACCCCCCCTACCAGACCATGCTGGATCCATCCCTGTACTAATATATCGAATACATTCATTTTACTTAATTTCAGCATGTTATTAATGCCCATAAAGTCCATAAACATCGGCTGCTCATGTCTTATAGCGTGTAATCATACTACCAGAACAGACTATACATGCAGGGTGTATCAGAAAACAGCAGACAATTTTGAAACGGCTCTCAATTTTACAAATCCGTTCATGTCATGATATTTTTGATAAATATAGATTGTTTGGGTACTTATAATGTAGAGTAAACAAAAAAATTTCGCAAAGATAAATTTTCCATAGCAGGGGTGTGTGTATTTTTTAGCAGCATTACGTAATATTGCAAATCCGACTACGAGGACTGGACTAGATTTCAAGTCCGAGGCGAAGTTTGGATTCAGTCCAAGGATTGAATTAATTTTGATTCAGTCCTAGGACTGGATCAATGTACTTCGTCAGGTATCCAGTATTATCATGTGAGCAAAATAAAGCAATATGGTTGGCTAATATATATGAATATGTATATATGTGTATATGTATATATGTATATATGTATATGTATATATAAAAACCAAATGTTTGGAGAATTAATTAATTAATTATAATATGTATATATGTATATATGTATATGTATATGTATATATGTATATAATAACTATCCATGATAAATACAATTATGCATAGACGGTAAAGTTTACCTCAGTCCCGGAGTTTCTGTTGCGATAGAGACGAAATGTTCCTTGCTGATAAGGATTGTAATATCTAAATAACAGGTTTAAAACAATGCAGTGAGATTCCAGCTACAGCGAAAAGGTGTGACATGATACTCATGCATGATACTGTCCGGTCTTCGACGTAGACTGCTAGCCTGACATACATGCATGTCATCGCAGATAATTCAGTAATAACTAGAAATACATGCATGTATGCAGCAACCCTTTGCATGTATTTTCCAAACATTTATTTAACACGAAGTATTAGTAATTGATCAACGCTGAACGCAGGTTCTCGTTTACGTCAATGTTGCTATGACAACACGATAAATTGAAATTTTATTATTACATTTTTTCTTAACTTATTAACCCATTAAGCGCCAGCGCTCTCCCCTTGACGAGTAAAATCGTCTGGCGTTAGACGGAGTAAAATACTAAAGTAGGGTGCATCAGGGTGCAATGCGACTCAATGGGTTAACTAGACACATGGGCAGATAGGCCAGTTAACCCATTAAGCGCCACCGCTCTCCCCTTGACGAGTAAAATCGTCTGGCGTTAGACAGAGTAAAATACTAAAGTAGGGTGCATCAGGGTGCAATGCGACTCAATGGGTTAAACTGGGTAATTTAGCAAACTTTAATACAGCTTCATTAAATTAAAGCAATAAAATTCATAAACATTAAACTTTCGAAGCAAACTTGCCCTATATTTCATGATTTTCCACAGTATATCAATTCTTTTCATTTCTTCAAACAAAAATTGCTTCAAAGTTCATTGTGTGAAACGCGATTTTCCGAATATATGCTTCTGAAAATTGAAATCTTAATTACCCCACTCTAGGCAAACACCCATATTTTTGAGATCAGTGAGAATGACCATACACGGACCACGGTTGGTGACCGACGCCCGCGATCATTTATGAAGTTCAGACTTCGCTTATGCTAATTCCCTTTCCCCGGGAGCAAATAGCCGGGTGAAATTAGTACCCTCGCCCCGGGCTCGGAAATAACAAAGAAACATAAATCATGTTTATAGCAAATCCTACAAGTTAATTGGTCAAATTTGACGTATTAAGCTGTTATACACTATTTAAAACACAAGTAGGTGTGTTTTATCTGTGATTTTATTTGTGATAAAACACGACATCGAGTGTTTTGACGACCACAAAAGAATACTAATTAGGATGAACAATTATATAAAGAATGCTAATGAAAATGAGTTTTATTAGATATCGAGTCACTCCACGTATCATATTTTGGCTGACATGATTTGCCACAAGGTTTATGACTTGCACTTGCAGGTGAATATAGAAAAACCGAAATTTGCAAATTGTTGGCTAGCCGTTTTGTGGAAGTTACTATAAATTCAGTCCCAAAAAAACCCACAAAAGGCTCAGTGATTATCGGGGAATATTCACCTCGACTTCGTCTTGGTGAATATTCCCCGATAATCACTGAGCCTTCCGCGAATATAATTGTTAAATATTTACCGGCCGTCAAATGTCACAATATTTGGATCCGTCGTAGATTGACAAAGCTTTGAGTTGCTCGAGCCCAGTGAGATCTAAAAATGAAAGAACTGCCTGGCATGAAAAAGGAATGGTGTACATAGAAATTGTCCAAATTGCATGCGAGGTGCGCAACATTAACGCGTATCAAATTAGCGCACCTAATCCCTTCCCAAATTCACACATGCACCTTTGCCTTTTTACATAGCTTATATAAGGACATTTAATTCGTTTTTGCGGAATAAATGGAAAATGACTATATATATAGTGTTCGCCTTTTTAAAAGTTTTTAGTGGTTCCTGTAACTATAACTGAACAACTTATTTAATTTAATTCGAAATAAATATTCAATACAAAGATCAACTGAACAATTTAACCTGTGCAGCTTTGAAAAATTTGAAATTTTGCTCCTGACCAGAAACATTATTTCAATCGCTGATACCATTTACACGCAGCTCTTACTGTGGGCTGGCGAAGGTTAGAAAGAAAATAGAATAAATTATTAAATTATAGATTGTTACCTTAATAGGTAGAAAATCGTAATACGCCCAAAAAGGATTATTGTCGGGATGCAGGACTGCCGTATGAAATTTGACTTCCACATTATTACGCGTTGTTCCAAGTTGCTTTATTGTCTCGCATACTGCTGTTATTCTGATCCATAATGGTCGATAAGATACATGCCTTTCGGTCAGTTCGGTTAAACATCTTAAATTTGATATCTTGCCACGTATACATATTTTCCCCCCTAAATTTTCTTTACCGTTGTATCCGACCTCAAATTTGAAGGATTTTTTCCGGATAGGTAAACTAGGTCTTAAGCTCACAGACACTTCTTTATTACCCGCACATTCGTCGAGATAAACTGTCCTTGGATGCACCTGTTAAACAGACAAAAAGTAATCAGTATATCATTTTGCTGTTCCTTAAATGGCCGTGCACCGGAAATCAGTTATTGGTATATTATGTCACCCTTGGGAAACAGGTTTGTATAAATAATAAAACTTGAGTTGGTAGAAATGTAGCTACGTGAAAAGTACAAGGAAAAATTCGACGTTTCTAGCGATGGCCGTTCGTCGGGAGGTTAGTATGGCGTTTGCCTGTCAGCAGACAAATCAGTCTCGTATCCTTGCATGAGAATTTTGGAGCGATGTTTGAAGTTAGCGTAGGTGTAATTAAAGCGTCGTTCTCTGCATGTGTGGGGGTATACACTACTTTTTCTAAAGAGCTTTGAAGGATATATAGTAACTAGGTATAACCAGGCCAGACAGTGTTATTATAGGAAGGATGAAGTAAGTAGTAATGATAGCATTAACATTTTAAGAAACTATATGACATGTTATACTTATGGTTTAAGTCTGTCCTTATAATCCTTATAGAAATCCTATATGGGGCCCTTTTCTTACAGACTTGCATGGTAAATATCTCCTTACGAGAGCAATTCATTCACATATAATTTAAATATTCAACTACTAAGCTTGAAACGTGTGCTCCCATTAAGCTTTGCGCGCTTAGAATTCAGGGTTTAGAGCTTACGGTTTGCAAAGGACAACCTTTTTTGAATTGGCTGGATATGTCTCTATTATTTTCTAGGTTTGCTTTTAAGACGATATCATGCATGCATTTGTCATACTTGAATTCAGTAAATCAGTTTTTAAAATACATATATTGATTAGCCCAGATGACTGATACGGAAATATTTCACATCGATCGCGCGAACTGATGTCTATAGACCTATGCTATATCATGCAATCTTGCCGCTGCTATTATCGAGCAAATAAGTGTTATCAACTCTTATAAATTGTTCAGAGCTACTTCCATTAAAAATTGCCTGCAAGCGATAGCTATATGCATAAACTGGGCGCTAAAAGTATACAATGCGAATAAGGTATTTTATATAAGGTGAAATATATTATAAATCATGAATATATATATACCCTTGGGAATTGTCAAACCAAAAAGGAGCTGTAACATGCAGTTAAAAATATTGAAATTTGGTATACTCATTGGTGTTTGCGGTTGGAATGTATAATTCCCTATGACAACCTTAATTTGAAATGCTGTATATCATTACTTTAATTTACTCCTTTATTCTGGTAATGTTTATATCCAACTATACCAGCATGCATTGCCCCAAGGCTCCGTTAGGTAGTAGACCCATAAATAAATCAGAAAATCAAACTTACCACAATGCCTGTAAAAATTGTTTCGCTTGATTTCCACATTGACCATTCTCTGTTGCCATGAAACCTTCCTCGAACTTTACAGAATGCCTGTAGATCAATAATATTGTGGTAGTTAGATGACATATATAGACCGATTCGAAAAGTGGTTGTCATTTTTTTTTCTCTCGGAAATAATTTCAACCTATAGGTATTCACTAACAGTATAAACTCAGTACCAGCATCATACTGCCATTTCTGGCAACATGATATCCCAAGGCTGGCAAAAATGCGAGAGAACTAACTTCTTGGCATGCTCTTCTATAATAATTTAGTATACCTGTTAAAACCATTAGTAATTAGAACTAGACAAAATATTATGGGCACCTTTTTGTTCCATTCATAACCACTGGGATTTTGCACAAGACGACCGGTTCTTCTATCAGTATAAAATTTATGCTCATACAAGTTCTCGTAGTTTGTTTGTGCTGCAGTTCCATTGAACTTACGTTCGAATGCGTGTGAAACGTCGCTAGAATCGCGGAACCATCGTACGTGAAACTCGACATGTGAAGCGTTGTAGAAATAATCCCAGCTGCATCGTAATGCTACATATTCTCTATCTTCATCCTTCGGTCGTGCTTGTGGCCTCGGTATAGTGGGAACGGCATCTATGCAAAAGGAATCATCCGGTCAATTCGTATACGCGTTAACTATTTATTTATGTCAACCATAATATGTCATGTGCAGTGGCTTTTAAATTTGATAAGACACTCCTAATTAGTATTCTTTATATAAAGAATGCTATAATAAGGCAGTATCTATTATAGTCGTGTCCTCATTAGTATGAGTTCATTGGCGAAGTAATTTTAAAAATAAACGTTGTCTAAGCCGAGAAAATCAAAGTTAAAGTTTATGTAAATCAACATGAATCTGTATCACATATACAGATACGACACGCTTATGATTTTTCTTTGTGTTTTCTAGTTCATGAATTATTAATGAGTTTTTTAACGTGTTTTATTGGGTACGTAATAAAACACTCCTGCCCGTTTGTTAAACAGTACCTTTAGACCTGCACAGAAGGAGACTTGTCTTTCGTGTTTCTATTTTGAGGAAATGTTATTTGATTCTTACCAGGGCAAATAGGAAATGATGTGCCATCAGAAGAACAATTTCTTTGAATCAGCAGCTTTGTGCCTATATAAATCACAACATTCATTGTTACTGACCTATAATTTTATATATACAATGAATCATCTTCGGCATAAAACGCGTATTGTTAAAGAGCGCTTATACGCTATTATATTTCGCACATTGAACACAAAGATGTCAGTTCAAAAATTATACTTTTAGATCAGAGAAAAATAACTTCTGGCATTCTTCAGGGAAGTTACCCTGGTTGTCAGAGGTTCTGTATCTTTGGGTTTCGAACCCGCGATCTTCGAAATTACAAGATCGATTTTCAGCATCGAACAATACTAGCTATAGTTCTGCAAGTGTTATATTATGTTATATATTCGGTAATATGACAAGGAGAAAATGTTCTTGAGTGAGATATATCATATTTTCCAGACTGCGCGAGCAGGAAACTCTGTCCGCCGCGGCTGGGTTTCGAACCTGCCACCCTCTCTCCTCCGCCCTCTCTCCTCCGCCCTCTCTCCTCCGCACAGGCTTTGAGTTGCTTAGAATTGGAATGCCCTAATGCCCCCCTCCACGACGGCGCGCGCGTGCGCGGGAGAACCGCGAGAGTCGGTTCTCCCGCGCAGGCGCGTGCCGTCGTGGAGGGGCTGGTCATGGATATTCGCTTGACGAACGTAGGGCGCAAATGAAAGCTAGGCTGATGTACAAAACGGTCAATCAATTAGACTGTATGACACTTTTCAAAATTCAGACACAATAAATGGTTACAATTTAAGGGGTTCTTTAACCGCTTTTTTGTTCCCAAGCCTGTAGGGAAGTTTCAGTTATAATGAGGTTTAAGTGATGGATGGTATCTTATGATTCGTTTTGTAAAAAGCTTTCTTCCTCGATCTTTGTTTTAGAATTTAGTTGCCTTAGTTAAATATATTTTTTAGTTAATATTCAAATACTCATTAATAATTCATACGTTTACCGGCAAACCATGTAAACCATAATATGTCACATGACGAGGCTTTTTATACCTGATAAAACTCGTCCCATTAGTATTCTTTATATAAAAGTCCATCCTAACTAGTATTCTTTATCTAAAGAATACTAATGAGACGACATCTATTGTAGTCATGTTTGAAGCTATTCAAAACACTAACTTGTGGTCGTGTTTTAAATAGTACCAACTTTAAATAATATGTGTATTTTTGTAATATTATAGCACTCATTTCATCACACTAAGACAATGGCAATGCACATTTAACCAAATAATAGGAGAGAACAGTAAACAAATCCTACCGAAACCTACTTGTACAATAAGCAGAGTTACAGTAATAAGGTTCCTTTAACTGATACAGAAAAAAACTTCCGCAGTTTATCACTTTGATGTTATATTGAATGTAGCATTCACCACGAGGATACCACCAATATGGCGCACACGCAATTCTGTCCACCTTTACACCAATGGTTGTTGGATGTGTCCCATTCATCCATATCGGGGCATGAGTTCCACAATGATTTATCCCTGAGTAAAACTCTGGTATGTTATTGCCAGCCACACTTTTAAACCTGTACCATAACCCATCTTGGATCAAATAACGATCGCACAAATCATCAGTAGCATTGTACAATGTATTGCGTCGGATATCACTGATCGTAGTATAGTTTATATTGCTACACTGTGCATCAAGAGCAGTTATACAGTGCAGAACAAGGAAGCAAATGAGCACAGCTGTTCACGCCATGATTACAGAACGCAAACTAAGAATTGTTTTGATCATGCAGTGTTAAATTACAACCATGGATGCATAATTACGTCATTGTATAATTCTAGTGTTTATAATTATTTTCTGAATTTTCTTTATTTTCCTAAAACATGCATTTTCCAATAATAAAGTCGTTCTATCCCATGTTGAATTGATAGAATTTATGAAGCTACCTTAAGCTTGCTTTCTATAGTTGAGTAATTTTCATACGTGTGTGTATACGGACGGAAAAGTTTGATTTTTTAAAAATTTAATTTCATATTAGTACTAAGTTTGACCTTTTGTTGAGTTTGACGTTTAATGCATGCATACGTTTAAACTATATGCATATATGCCCTATGGCAGTATGTTCACTGTCGGATTATCTCTCAATGTGAGACGTAAACTTAGCGATTATATTGTGATATAATGAACTAATGAAAATGGGTATTTTATAAAGAACCATAGTTTATTTGCAGATTGGAAAACTCTTTTGTTTGTAGTTGCATACTTGTCTTCCTTTCTTACAGCAAACTATTTTAAATACTTGAAATTTAAATCTTATTAGCATAAACGCACTTAAACAGGAACTTCACGTCCATCAAACAAACAAAAAATAGGAACTTGGACGACCTTGAACAATGAAAGGTGACTGTAACAATAAACCCTCCAGGAAGCTGAGAATACCTGCATGCATATGAAATAAATTAATCAATCTCTGAAGCTTTTGTGTTGTAAATGTGTGTGTGGTTTAAAAGTTATTTGCTGAACTCTTTTTATTCAAATGAATTAAACTAAGACTTCCGCCAAGTGTATTATTTAATTGCTTCCATTTTAACAAATTTATTCTTGTGTTATCATTTAGGTATTTGGAGTTGAGTGGTCAAACGTTAATGATTACAAGACATTAGCGCAATCATAGAGAGCGGTCATAAAGTGTGTGTTATGGAGGAGGGGATGAGGGAGCCTATTTGGGTGGGGTATGAAACAAAATAATATTTTTGAAGGAAGGATTAAGCAGACCATACCAGAAACCATTATTGAAGGCAATATTTAAAAATAGATACATTTCTCATTGTAGAAAATTTCATACAAGAAATAATGAAAATACGAACAAAACCTGTCCACTTCGATTTCCTTACTGGATGGTCACATCAGAAGCACTTTTCACCTGTTTTCTCATAGACATAGTGTGATCAAACCACATTCCAATGTTCTTAGCCGATCGTGTCGATCAATCAGTTCTTTGCCGGACTAAATACTCAGTAATGTGAATTAAGTATGGAATAAAGTGAGAATTAGAAGTACTGTCAATGTCTGTTTTTGACAAGCAAAGACAGATTATGCTACAGGAGTGGACAGTGCCGAAAAGACATTTTTATATCTGAAACACTATATATGATTATTACTATTAAAATGTCTGGCAACAGATTGGTTAGCATCGTTGCCAATGACAGCACGCTTATATCATGCTCACCAAAACTTAATTGTCCTCAGAAATTTTCCAGTTTCCCGATATAAAACATGCCACATGCACTGCATGAGATGCAGTAATGAGATGGAAGGAAGAAAGACACGTGAAATTAAATGGTGCTTGGAATGGTACTTACATTCTGGATTGGCCTGCGAACAGGCGTTTATTCAGGTGGGCCTCGTAATAATAAACGCCTGCCAATCTAGTGTATGGGAACGAGATTGACGCCTGCCCGCATGACTTTAAATTTTCGGAGACTTCGTTCGCCCAACTTAGGAGCATATGATTGACATTAACTAGGAGGTCTGCGTTTATTACTGAGGTCAGCAAAAATTTGCAAAACTTTGCTGTTAATTATTGTTCTGTGACTTGGTGCTGATTTATAGATCAAGATGAATATAGTCGAGTAAATGCTAACAAGAAAAACATTAATGTTTTGGGCCAATTTAATGAGATAAATATTTTTGATGTACTACCACGGGCTTTAGGACAAATTCAATTTGACAACAATAGTATTCTATCTAAATAGCAGTTAAAATAAAGTGTACGGCACCTGAACTGTTCAATATCTTGCTTCTTAATCCATAAAACATTTACATATATGCAAATACTGTATATTTTCAAAATCCGCCATATTTATTTACATTAGAACCCAAGCTTTCGTATGGCGTTGCGTTCCGGTCAAAATTATTTCAAGTCAATAAGAAATATTCAAACATCATATAAACATGTTATAACTCTCAATATAATGTTGAAAATATCAAGATAAAGTTCAAACTCAAAAAAATAAACGAAAGTTTAAAGCATATACTTGAAAAATGCAAAATACATTTCAAACCTCAAAGGATATTATATGAAAACTAAACGCAAGTCCTAACTTCTATTTATAAAGCGAAACTCCCAAATGACAAGTCAAAGCCGCGACTCATAAAAATAAATCGAAAAGTCAAAAATATAAATCGAAAGGAAACGGAAGTAAGAACTAAAATACAGAGGAAGTCAGGAAACGGAAGTTAATCACAAACATTGCTGATTCAGCCGAATATCTTTCTCGCCGTCTGGATGTTTACAAGAGAAATATAAATATTTTTGTACTAATCTATAGCCAATTCTGGGTGTTACATGTAAGATACCATGAACAAGTAGATCAAGATCATTGTCCCTTATGGTAGAATGTGATTCCCTGTTCGTATTAGCTGAGACAAATAAACGTCAATTAACGTCGACACATCGTCGTATTGTACTCTCAGATACTCAAAATTTCTTGCAATTTCTGCCCAGGAAAGACCAACTTGAGAATTGCCTGTTGTCAGACGTCCAGGTTTGGTCTTCCCACACCAGAGATAGTTAATAGTTAACACTCCCACTGTCCTACACTTGTCTGAACACTGCCGTGGTCCTGGGGGGGGGGGGGTACTCCAACAAAGGGCGGAAGGAAAGCGCTTCGCCTTCGCATCTTTCGCATCTTTCCCTTTGACGACGAACAATCACTTGAAGGATGCGCATCTCTGAAAAAAGTTGTTGTTCTAGAGGATATTAAGTCTTGTGGATTGAGAAGAATATTTATATTTCTCTTGTAAACATCCAGACGGCGAGAAAGATATTCGGCTGAATCAGCAATGTTTGTGGTTAACTTCCGTTTCCTGACTTCCTCTGTATTTTAGTTCTTACTTCCGTTTCCTTTCGATTTATATTTTTGACTTTTCATTTTATTTTTATGAGCCGCGGCTTTGACTTGTCATTTGGGAGTTTCGCTTTATAAATAGAAGTTAGGACTTGCGTTTAGTTTTCATATATATCCTTTGAGGTTTGAAATGTATTTTGCATTTTTCAAGTGTATGCTTTAAACTCTCATTTTTTTTTTTTTTTGAGTTTGAACTTTATCTTGATATTTTCAACATTATATTGAGAGTTACAACATGTTGATATGACGTTTGAATATTACTTATTGACTTGAAATAATTTTGACCGGAACGGAACGCCATCCGCGAAAGCTTGGGTTCTAATGTAAATAAATATGGCGGATTCATCCTCGTTCCCAGGGCTTCTGTGGCGGATTTTGAAAATATACAGTATTTGCAAATATTTGCATATATGTAAATGTTTTATGGATTTTATAGAAGCAAGATATTGAACAGTTCAGGTGCCGTACACTTTATTTTAACTGCTATTTAGATAGAATACTATTGTTGTCAAATTGAATTTGTCCTAAAGCCCGTGGTGCTACACATGAGATTGTCAGGTTCAGTTAAGCTGCTAGTTCGCCTGAAGTGTCCTATCAAAGTGTTTATAAAAATTCATTGGACATTTGAACCTCGATGAAGGTCGACGTGGATTTCCGATTATTGTGTTAAAATGACTTTTGTATATATTTACTATTCTTCTTGTACTGTATGCAATTAATATACCATTAGGTTTTAAATAGAATGCAAATATGTTGTTTTATGTACTGTCAGTTGAAGTGAGCTGATACTGACAATTGACTTAAGGGAAAGTACATTTATTACACCGAGGGAGGGGGATGAAGATGTCTTGAAAAAAGCTCATATTTTTACAGGGTCCCTGTTAAGGTTATCGGTAAGTTTCGATGCCCCCCCCCCAAGTTTTTAAAATTTTCAATGCCCCCCCCCTCTAGAATTCGGAAACGAAGGAGTACAATCCGGAATTCTCTCTTATCATAGATACAATTTGCAGTTCCTCAAGATGTCTGATATACTCAAGTGCTTCTCCTCTACCGATCTGATGCTTCTTTCATCTCACTAGCGCCAGATGAAATGGCACCGTCTTTAAAACATTTTAAATTGGCTCTAGGGGTGGAATTATCAACAGGTTGTTGTTGTCCATCATTTAGCATATTCTGAGTCTTGAACACGTTCATGTAGTGGACAGGATTTCCTGGATCAGGGTAATGTGCTGGAACCTTACAGTATGTTGCCCCCACCCAACGTATCTCCCGGCATCTGTTGCAAATGTCTTTGCATGCCTGTCAAAAATGCATGCAAAAGTGCCAGTATGCTTCAATTTCTTTAATTTCCATCCCGTTTGTACGAAATATCCCGTAAACATAGAACATATCATTCTTGCAAATTGTATATGCTTTTTACTGCGTAAATTACTTCACAAACCTGGCGCAAAAAAATTTAAAATAAGCTATAGGTGATTTCATGTATCCATTTAGAAGAGCAGACTAAGGATATCTTAAAACTGAAATCGGTTTCGAATACAACCATCAGGGACGTAGCAAAGCATCTGACTTTTGGGGTGGGTGGGATGTCAGAGGATTATACGTGTAATAATTATAATAAAGCTTTTTGTGATTGATTGGCACTCTTATACTAAGTTTTGGGAGAAAAGGGGGGTCTGTCTGGGGTCCACCCCCAGAAAATTTTTACATTTTCGAAGCTCTAGGACTGAATTTCTGGCGTTTTCTAAAGCAAATTTCGCAAACAAATTGCATGTAAATTGACTGTATTTTACAAAAATGGTTATCATTTCACAAAAATAGTACTTTATTACGCAAATTTTACCTGAAACTGATGTAAGAATTTTAACTTTAATTTGCTTGGGTCAAACCTTTGAAAAGTTTAGAGCCCCCCTTCAGTATATCAAGAACTTTCAGAGCCCCCCCTTTAATGCCAGAAAATATTTCGGAGCCCCCCCTTAACATCTTCATCCCCCCCCTCGGCATAATAAATGTACTTTCCCTAACGTTGTGAAAGCATGAACATTCAAGACTATGTTGTAATTTTGTAATCTTGTCGTTAATATTATGAAACTTATATCGATTATCGAATACGTTTCTGTTTATGGCAACGATAAATAGACGTAGACGGCAATATTTTATATTTTGACAGCGACTGGACGCATTTTAATTAATGTTCTACTAATTGAAATGTTTTAACATTAAAATGTTCTAATTTCGATACAGAAATCTTTCCCATTACATTTATTGTGGTTTATTGTAATAAACGAAATGACTCGTGAATATATTTGGACATCTTACAGTGATAATGAAAAGAAACCAGCCAGTTCCACACACGGAAAGTCGTTGATATTTTGAGCACTACTGTTTTGAGTTTGTGACTCAAAGGGGCGTTTTTCAAAATTATAAGGCATGTCCGGCAGGCGTTTATTATTACGAGGCCCACCTGAA